GATTCTATGAAAAGCCTCTCTTAGGACTGCCCAGAGGGATCTTTGCAGCGCTGGAACGAAACCCTTGGAGGTGCCAGGTGTTTCCAGGCTCCGTACCTGTTGAGTGCCATGGTGACAGTGGCTCCCTGCTGCATCTCCTGGGACGCTGCCACGGCTGCCTCTGCCAGCGATGCCACCGCCTGCGTGGCCTCCGACGCCTGCGTCGTCTGGATGGTCATCTCACCCCCCTGTAGCGTTGCCCAGTTCTGCTCCACCTGCCAGGGACAGCACCAGGAGAGGACAGGAGGGTTGGGTGTTGCCCTGTGGGTGGGTGGCTGCTCCCTAAAGGGAAATTCCTGAAGCGGAATTCCTAAGGTTTCAAGGAGCGCCCGCGCAGTCCTGCCAACACTCCGGCTTTGAGGGGGGGAAAAAGAAAGGGGAAGGCCTGGATCCACCTGGGAATGTTGCTGGGCACCACCACCCTCCATCAGTATGTTCCATAAACACCCATGAAGGCCCTCAGCCACCCACAGATCCCTCTTGTCCGGCCAAATCCGCAACAAAACGGGACGACGTTGTTGTTGCCGCACCCGGATCACGGGCTGGGATTTGATGAATTATCTCTGCCAAATGGCCATAAAGAAAACACAGCCAGTCCCACCTCAAACTGAGGAAGAGCCTCTTCCCATGGAACTCGGGATCAGCTGCCCAGGGAAGGTGTGGAATGTCCCTCTCCAGAGACATTCCAACCCCGCCCGGATGAGCTCCTGTGTCACCTGCTCTGGGTGGCCCTGGTTGGACTGGGTGACCCCCAGAGGTCCTTCCAACCCTAATAATTCTGGGATTCTGTGTTTCTGCAGTGCTGGAACCCCAGCATGGATCAGATCCCTCAGGAAAACGGGCTGTGTTTGCCTCACGGTTTCCATTTGCATCATCCACTGCCGTTTTGGGAACGATCCATGTTCCCACTAGGGATTTCTTTGTACAGCACCTGCAAATTCCAAGGGGTTTGAGCCAACTGGGATGTCTCTACACTGCTCAATAAAAGATGATGTGGATGGGAGTGATCTTACAATTCCCTGGCTCCAGACCTTTCCATTAATAAATATTATATTACTTAAAATTCACCCATCTCAGTTGCTCATTTCCCACATTTCTCTGTTTGGGATTTCACAGCCCACGAGACAACGAATGTGTGGCCACAAAATCCACCAGGATGGGAACTGGAAATATGGACTGAACCCTGAAAAAAGCTGAGGAAATGGAGGATGAAGGCCCATCACCCCAAAATCCTACTGGCTTCTTTGCATGGTGATGAAGATCTTCCTCCAACTCCCATCCCTGCTCTCATCCCCATAAACGTTTCGGGGCCACTCCTGGTGAGTGGAGAGACACAAATGCTGCAGAAAGTGAGGGGAAAAAACCCACCTCAGTTTGTTCAGGTGGCTAAAATGGTTAAGAAGGTAAAAATTCCATGGAAATTTTGCTGCCTTTGGGCAAGACAAGGATTAATCCCACCACAGGAAGGAGAGGGAGGGAGAACATCTGCCTTCCCACCCACCATCCCAGTGGCTCTGTGCTCCCCAACAGGGATGGAATAAGGAAGGAAGGAGTGGAAGGAGGGACCTTCCAGGCTCTTCTCCCCACTGACACAAAGGTTTTTCTGCTGGGATATTTTGAAAGGATTGGAAACAACCTCAAAAATGATCCAGTTCTACCCTGGGGGGGAGACACCTTCCACTGGACCAGGTCGCTCCGAGCTGGCCCTGGGATGGATGAGCCCCATCCAGCCTGATTTGTGCCTCTGGAAAATTCCTTTCAGCTCTCAGGAGATATTAAAAAAAAGACAAACAAACTTGGAAAGCCTCGGGGCAGCTGGCAAGTGCCTCAAGGTCACTGCGGGCTCCTGGGATGTGGGATGGGAGCAGGGGCTGGAGCTCGGCAAAGCTGTTCTGTGCTGCCACCTCTCGCCGGGACACCCCGGAGGGACCTGCAGCCTCACTCAGAGGGGATCTGGGGGCGAGGAGGGGATAAAGGAGTGGATTTATAAAAAAAAATAATTCGTATTTTTGAAGGAATGTTCCTCAGACGCACAGAAAAAAAAAGTGTTATTTGGTTAAAAAAAAAAAGCGGCGGGAAAATAAATGTGTGCGAGTGTAAGAGGTTGGGATTGGGCACTGGAGTGCCAAACAAAAGACAAAATAGATAATCTACAGGAGGTACATTGAAATGCTAAAGAAAAGGCAAAATAAATAATCTATAGAAGATATAAAAAGAAAAAAGTATGAAATTGAGACCTAAGGTTTCCACCATAATTTTGTCTGTAGAGTCCTGAGTCAAAATAACAGCAGTTCAGCACCAAATCCACAGATTAAAAAGAGGTGGAAAAATAAATGTGTGCAAGTGTAAGTGTTCAGATTTTGAAATGCCAAAAAACCCACAAAATAGATAATGTATAGGAGGTACATTGAAATGCCAAAGAAAAGGCAAAATAAATAATCTATAAGAGGTATGAAAAAAAAAGTATGAAATTCAGACCTAAGGCTTCCACCATAACTGTGTTTGTAAAACCCTGAGTCAAACTAACAGCAGTTCAGCACCAAATCCACAGAAAAGGTCTATTAGTTGATCAAAAAAAAGTGGAAAAATAAATGTGTGCAAGTGTAAGTGTTTAGATTTTGAAATGCCAAACAAAAGACAAAATAGATAATATACGGGAGGTACATTGAAATGCTAAAGAAAAGGCAAAATAAATAATCTATAGAAGATATAAAAAGAAAAAAGTATGAAATTCAGACCTAAGGCTTCCACCATAACTGTGTTTGTAGAGCCCTGAGTCAAAATAACAGCAGTTCAGCACCAAATCCACAGAAAAAGTCTATTAGTTGATTAAAAAAAAGTGGAAAAATAAATGTATGGAAGTGTAAGAGTTCAGGATTAGGCACTGGAGTACCAAACAAAATACAAAATAGATAATCTACAGGAGGTATATTGAAATGCCAAACAAAACCACAAAATAAATAATCTATTGGAGGTATAAAAAGAAAAAAAGTATGAAATTCAGACCTAAGGTTTCCACCATAATTTTGGCTGTAGAGTCTTGACTCAAAATAACAGCAGTTCAGCACCAAATCCACAGAAGAAATCCATTATTTGATTAAAAAAAAAAGTGGAAAAATAAATGTGTGCAAGTGTAAGAGTTCAGGATTAGGCAGTTCAGATTTTGAAATGCCAAACAAAAGACAAAACAGATAATGTATAGGAGGTATAAAAAGAAAAAAGTATGAAATTCAGACCTAAGGCTTCCACTATAACTGTGTTTGTAGAGCCCTGAGTCAAAATAACAGCAGTTCAGCACCAAATCCACAGAAAAAGTCTATTAGTTGATTAAAAAAAAAATGGAAAAATAAATGTGTGCAAGTGTAAGTGTTCAGATTTTGAAATGCCAAACAAAATACAAAATAGATAATCTATAGGAGGCATTAAAAAACGTGTATGGAATTCAGGCCTAAGGTTTCCAAGGAGGAACAAACAAAAACGGACGAAATTCAGGCACGAGGCTTCCGAAGGGATATAAATAAAACCCCACAGAACTCACACCTAAGGCTTCTGCCATGACTGGGTTATTCTGTTAATTTTGTTGAATTTGGTTTGCAGAGTCAGACCAACCCCAGCCCATCGCTTTCTGTATAAAATGACACAAATTTATGCAGCAATTCACATTCCCGCGGGCGCCGACCCCCGGAATTCGGCGTTCCCTGTGCCCAGTTGGCTGTAGGGGATGTTGGGTGAGGCTCAGAGGGCCCTGCTCCCGGCTGAGCTGTCCCCAGAGAGCTGCCCCAGGGTCTCACCTCTCCGTCGGCCACCGCGGAGTAGTTCACTTGTGCCACGGTGACCGTGGTGGGCAGCTCGGAGGCGTCGGCCAGCGTGGCCACCGTGGCGCCGGTGCCAACCTGAGGGACACGACAGAATGGGGCTGAGAAGGCCTGCTGGTGCAGGAGGGAGGCCATAAAATCCATGTAAAGAGACACTTGGGTTAATAAAAGCAAAGGATAAAGGGTTTCACTGTGAGGGTGGTGAGACGCCGGCACGAGTCGCCCAAGGGGGTTGTGGGTGCCCCAGCTCTGGGAGTGTCCAAGGGCAGGTTGGGAGAGCTGGGGGGGTTCCCCTGGAGAAGAGAAGGCTCCAGGGAGAGCTGAGAGCCCCTTGCAGGGCCTGAAGGGGCTCCAGGAGAGCTGGAGAGGCACTGGGGACAAGGGATGGAAGGACTGGGGCCAAGGGATGGAGGGACTGGGGCCAAGGGATGGAGGGACAGGACACAGGGAATGGCTTCCCACTGCCAGAGGGCAGGGATATTGGGAATGAATTCCAGGTGTAAACTAAAGACCAGGGGGCACAGAAATACCTGATCTGTTGATTAAACTGGGTTTTATGCCATTAAAGGAGGGCAGTCCCACCACCTCTGCTCCCATTGCCACCTCAGGCCTTGTGTGGTGACAGCAGGAACTGGATTTGTTCGTTAAGTGGGTTCATTAAACTCAGCTCAGATCCCTGAATCGCAGAAATCCAAGGGATGGGGAACAAGGGATGGGAGTGGGGAAAAGAGAGAGATAAAACTGGTTCTCTGGGTGGGAGTGCTGGGTTAACAAACCCGAGGGGTGAGACCTGCAGACAAAGCCAAAATTCCCGACGCGGACGATTAGATCCCGAGTCAGCCGTGCCGGGAATGGGGAAATGCAGAGGGCCCCACTCACCTGGATGAGGGACACGGTGCCATCGGGGTTGCTGAAGGTCTGTACCACGGTCTGGGAGGGCACCAGGTGGGCGATGCTGTGCGTGGTCGTGGTCTGGGGGGTCTGCTGGTCCTCGAAGGCGTAGAGCAGGTCCTCGCGCCCGTGCTGCTTGTAGCAGTTCTTCACGATGGTCCTCAGGGCCTGGGTCCAGGACACCTTCCAGCATGAGGGGGAGAGGGCAGAGTCAGGGGGGGAAGGTTTTCTGAACCGCTGAGATTTGAATGTTTGTCTTTAATGGGATTTATTGGATGGTTTGGAACCAACTCGCAAACAAAAGGCCCCCGATGATTAATTCCTGTCCTCATCCCCTCCTTTGTCCAGGACTCAGAAATCACCCTGGAGAGCAGCAGGATCTAGGGATCTCATCCCTGCTCACTGCAGGATGAGATGATCTGTAAAAGGGCCCTTCCAACCCAAACCATTCTGGGGAGAAAACCATCCTAGGTCCAGGAAAGCACCGACTGCCCCAGCACCATTCCCAGCCCCACTTGGAATCTCTCCCCATCCAATGGCTCCTAAATCACCCCACACAGGTCCTGCTGCTCCCACACCATGGTGGCCTTCTTCCCTGAAGACCTTTCTGACAGAAACATCACCTGTGTGGTGTCATCCACGGCCACAACTGGCACCCCCCACCCCCTCACCCCGTTCTCTCCCTTTTTCCCGGCTCCGTCGCGCTATTTCCTTGGAGCACCAAGGTCCCTGCTGCTCAGGATGGGACAGCCTCCCTGCCAAGACTCTTCCTTCTGCCACTGGAGGGAAGAACTGCTCCCAGAGCACACTGTTTGCAAGCCCCTGTGCTCGGTTTGAGGGCAGCCAGGGGGGGACACTCACCCGCTGCTTCTGCTCCTCCGTGCGGACGTCGCTGCGGACGTTGGCCCAGGGAATGTCCTCGGGCCACCAGATGGGTTTGCAGCTCTCCTTGCCCCAGCCTGGCTTCCCACGGCCCGTGGAATACTTCAGCATCTCAGGGATGAAGGCTCTCAGCTGTGCCTGCAACAAACCACAGCAGAGGGGGGAATTTTTAGGGTCTTTCCTCTCTGGTAGTTTTGAGGCGCTTCGAAGTTCTCACAAAGTCACTACATTTAACACCCATCCTGTTGGAGCCATCGACTGGGAGAGGCCTGGATGCCTAAGGAAGATGGACAATACTTTACCATCTTCTCCCAGATTCAGCTTAGAGCCTGGGAAGAGCAGAGACCCAATTAAGCCAGCTAATTACAGTGATGAGGCACAACCACATGTTGTATTAACACACTGTACGGTTAAACCCTACCAGGAAGAGAGCAGGCCAAGCTCAAAGGGAGAGGATAAATAAACAGATCAGAATAAGGCAGAAAAACCCACAGAACGTCCTCAAAGTGGCAGGAACTGAGCCATGAGCTGGGGTGTGTTTTACAGAGAGGCTGCAAAGGGGATGGAGCTCCAGGGGCTGCTCGGATGTGAAAACCACGATCTCACACTTCTCCACCCCTGTGTTGGCAAAGAAATTACAAAACCCACACAGGGTTTTGTGACACATTTGGGTTTTGTGCCAGGGATTCCTCGGAGCGTCAGGAAAAGGCTGGTTCAGCTGCAGAACGGAGCAGGAAGAGGAGGAGCTCTCACCTCAAGTTGGAGAAAATCACTTTAAAAGCTTAAAATCTGCATCTCTTTTGAGTTTTTACAGTGAGTTATTTCATAGGATCGTGGGATCACTGTGGTTGGAAAAGACCTTTAAGACCACAGAGTCCAACCATCCCCCAGCACTGCCAAGGCCACCCCTGACCCCTGTCCCCAAGTGCCACATCCACAGGGCTTGGAAATCCCTCCAGGGGTGGGGACTCCAGCCTGTTCCAAGGCCTGACCACCCTTTCCAGGAAGGAATTTCCCCAATATCCAACCTGACCCTCCCCTGGCCCAGCCTGAGGCCGTTTCCCCTTGGCCTGTCCCTTGTTCCCTGGCAGCAGAGCCCGACCCCCCCCCGGCTCCCCCCTCCTGTCAGGGACTTGCAGAGCCAGAAGGTCCCCCCTGAGCCTCCTTTGCTCCAGGATGAGCCCCCCCAGCTCCCTCAGGAGCTCTCCAGCCCCTTCCCAGCTCCCATCCCTTCCCTGCACACACTGTTGTATCCATGGGCTCCAAGCTGGACATTAACTTATTTCCAAGCTGCCTTTTTCATGCTACACATGGAATATGTACTAAAGCACCTTCTTCCCAAGCCTGTCCATGATTCCCCTTCCAGTGCAGGACCAGCATCCACCCTCACGTGCTCCAGGCTCCCCTGTTGAGTCCCCACTTGTTCAAACCAACCTGGGAACAGCAGGTTTTTGAGCTGCCCGGTGCAAAAACAGTTAAAAGCTCCTTCCCTGAACCTCAACGTGCCCCTCGTTTCCAGCTGGATTAATTACTGGTCTGTGGGAGTTCGGGGCTCAGGCTACTCAGGGTACTTGTTAAGGAGGGTTTGTGTTTAATCCACCGGGGAGACAATCAGCAGCACC